AGTCAGTTTTGCTTACCCCATTACATTTATTTTGCATGAAATTAACAGCAGATGATGTATTTCACTAATTAGCAGAATACTTAATGTGTTTTCGAGGTGCTTTCAGTGCAGAGCCTGGCTTCCTTTTTCCTTCCTGATTCAAGCCTGTGTGCAAATCGAGCCAAACGGCTTCACTTAGCTGCTGATCCAGTTTCATATTCAGCGTACAGACACGTTAATAGTTCTAATCTCTTCATCTGACTGTTTGCAATAAGGCGAGCAAGCGGGCGTCCTACGACGCCAAGTTATTCACCAGCTGTCAATTCATGTTTACTGTGTTAATGGAGACACGGAGCAGCAACATCCTGCAGCAGTCTGAAGCAAACAGTCAGAGAGATTCAAACAACACGGAGCTGAACGGAATGCAAAACAATAAATTATACAGCGAACAGTTTGGATTTGGGATGAGTCATGATTTGAGAGGGATTGCAATTTCTTTTCCATCCAAAAATAACAAACAATATAGACAAAGAAAGAAAAATGTCATTTCTGCTGCTGGAACAAACAAACAAACATGTTTCCTTATGTTTGGGAACATCTACAGACCAGGAGGGTCTCTGCAGCACCGCGATGCTTCATCTGAAACCAAACATTCTGACATATTTGACCTTTTTCACTTTTTGTTAAAACATTGCAGCTCATGCAAACTGGATATTTGCCTTCTCCATATTGCAATTTTGGGCTGCAAGGTGGCTCAGTGGTTAGCATCGTTGCCTCGCAGCTAGAAGGTCACACCCAGGATCTTTCTGCGTGGAGTCTCCATGTTCTCCCCGTGCAGCGTGGGTTCTCTCCGGGTTCTCCGGCTTCCTCCCACACAGTCCAGAAACATGTTGAGGTTAATTGGTGATTGTAAATTGTCTGTAGGTGTGAATGTGAGTGTGCTTGGTTGTCTGTCTCTAAGTGTAGCCCTGTGATAGACTGGTTACCTGTCCAGGTGAACCTGCCTTCACCCTGAGTCAGCTGGGATGGACTCCAGCCCCCCATGACCCTAGTGAGGATTAAGCGGTGTATAGATGATGAATGGAAGGATATCACAATTTTGATAATTCAATTAATTGTTCAGCCCTAGTCCCACAGACCTCTGATCAACGTGCTGAACCAGCGTTACTTTATTTCCATCCCATAAGAAGAATGCAGGAGGAGGTGCTATAGGAACTACACCAGGGGTGTCCAATCCTGGTCCTCGAGGGCCACAATCCTGCATGTTTTAGATGTTTTCCTTCTTCCAACACATCTGATTCAAATTATCAGGATCGCTATCAGGCTTCTGCAGAGCTTGATGATGAGCTGATCATTTGAATCAGGTGTGTTGGAAGAAGGAAACATTTAAAACATGCTGGATTGTGGCCCTCGAGGACCAGGATTGGAGACCCCTGAACTACACGGTGCCAGACGGTGCCCTGTCCGATGGCCACGTCTGACCCATGCATTTGCAACACAACAGTTTTTTGACTTTGTATGGCTGCTACCTTGGTCTCCCTTGTGAAAGAGACTTCTAATCTCAATGGGACTTCCTGGTATAGGGCTGCAAGGTAGGGCGGTGGTTGCCTCGCAGGTAGAAGGTCGCTGGTTCGCGTCCTGGTGAGGACACCCGGGATCTTTCTGCATAGAGTCTCCATGTTCTCCCCGTGCAGCGTGGGTTCTCTCCGGGTTCTCCGGCTTCCTCCCACATGGTCCAGAAACACGTTGAGGTTAATTGGTGATTCTAAATTGTCCGTAGGTGTGAATGAAAAAGAAAAAAACTCGATGCACACAAAGAGCTCAACTGAAATCACTTTTATTGTCAATACAGCACACACACACTTGAACTGATAGAAATACAAAAGTTTCTCTGCTCCCTTCTTTACAGTGACGTATAGAATATGCTACAGTAATACACACACACAGCCCTCACACTTGAAATGATATATACCGTGACTGACATCTTCCCATGATCAGCGTTAGTTAATACTACCTTCTGTGGAGCGGGCGACCCACGGACCGCCCACAGAGACTTCATGCAGATTTATATTTGTACAAAACTAGGAGTGTGACTGGATGCAGCTGCAGTGGAGTGACTCGGGGATGCTCCGCGAGATTAACTCGACGACAAAGGCGAGAAATTCTCTTCAAGTGTCATGATGCACGATTCCAGCCCAGGATGCGCTCAAGGTTCTACCTCGCTGAATGTGGTCCAACATCACAATAAAAATAACACAAACAAAAACAAAAACAACATCCTCCATGGCAGAGGTAATAACAACAACAACATCCCAGTGTAGCTCCGCACATCCTCCGAATCTCAGCATGTGATACGTCCTCGTGTCCCCTGATTATCGCAACTGGAATGATCCGAACAGGCCGGAGAAGCCACTGACAATAACGCGCTTGCTTTTTTTTTAAATTTATTTTTTTAGGTGTGTAGCAAAGTGGGAACGCCATAAAGTTTCTATTTTCAGTCGTGACAACACTGAGAGGTGATCATACAAAAAATCCTGGCGCTATAAACAAGCAAAAACTTTAACGACGGCTCACATCTGCTTCAGAATGCACTTGAGACGAATAAAACGGCAGCTTCAACCCGCTAACGTACGACCTAGCATGACGTAAAGAACTGAAAGTGTAACAAACAGCAGCGACATCCGGGCGACTCCCGCTTTCTGTCCGTTTACAAAAAAAGGCAGCTCGAGAAATCTCCCCCCCGCTCGAATGTCACGTATTTCTGGAAAAATTAAATCTAAATCTGGCCAACTCCGCGATACTACCAGCCCTAAAAATGCCCGTTACATTTGTGCATGCAAGTCCGTATGCAAGCCAACTACGACGACAACTAAAAGAATGACACACTGATTCACTGGCTCTGGAAGTCTGACTCAGTAAAACAGATCTTAAAAGATGCATTAAAATGTAGGTTTAAAAAAAAAAAAAAGAAAAGAAAAACAAAAACAGAAGTCCGATGTAAGAGCAGGCATTTAGAGTGAAAGGCTACGTCTGAGTGCATCTCTGCGGACATTCAGTCGACTTTCTTGCCGCGCAGTCGGAGTGTGTCCAGCGTGTATCTGCAGGCCGAGCCGCTGTACTGGGACAGGAGTGTCAGGACCTTCCCGTGGATGAGGGTCAGCAGGGTCTGGTGGCCCGTCGCCCAAACCCGGTACCAAGGCCCGTAGAAGGGATCGGACACGGCCGGACACAGCATGTTGTTCAGGTTGACCTCGGTGGCCTGCAGGAGGACAAACACAGACGGGTTGAGGAAAAGTATTATCCAGTTAGATAGTGAGATTCAGCACATCCATCCATCATCTCTACACCTTAATCCTCACTATGGGGGGCTGGAGTCTATCCCAGCTGACTCAGGGTGAAGGCAGGTTCACCTGGACAGGTAACCAGTCTATCACAGGGCTACACTTAGAGACAGACAACCAAGCACACTCACATTCACACCTACGGACAATTTACAATCACCAATAACCTCAACATGTTTCTGGACTGTGGGAGGAAGCCGGAGAACCCGGAGAGAACCCACGCTGCACGGGGAGAACATGGAGACTCCACGCAGGTGTCCTCACCGGGACGTGAACCGGCGACCTTCTAGCTGCGAGGCAACGGCGCTAACCACCGCTAGCACATTCTTTATTATCATTAATTTTAATGGATCTCTGCTCCAACAAACTACCTGAAGGACAAGCTGACAGCAAATAAATCTTCTACGACTGGACTTCACTGCAAGTTGGTTTTGTTGTATGTTTCTGGGATTCCCTCCCAGATCGATGTCAGTTTCTTCTTTTACTGAAAACGTTATTTTATTTTACAGCCTTCTGCTGAATGGTTTCGTTATTTTACTTTGTTCTTTATATGAAGAGTTCATTTGCAAAAACAGATAACTCCATTTTTGTAGATTTTAACTTGTTTAACTTGTAAATTTTTGTTGTTGGCTTGAGATGATATCTATTAAACTGAAGCTGAGTGGATCTGACTCAGTAGAAATGACATAAAACTAGAGATAACTCAAGTTTGATTGATGTTGTCTCAGGTAGACGATAGAGAAATGGGTTTTCTGAAGGTTTGTGAAGATGGACTTATCTGTTTTTGCAAATTAACTCTTCATATATTTTACTAAGTTGGTTTTTCTTTTTTAATCCTTTGCATTGTGGTCATTTCCTTTTGTTCTGGTTAGATATTTGGATTTGTTTGGTTTTATCTGTATTTTAAAATCTACTTATAAATAAAGATAAAGATAAGATAAAGATAAAGAGACTTTATTGTCATTGTGCAGAAGTACAACGAAACTTGTGTGGAAGAACACGACAATAGCAGCAGTGCAAATAAGAATAAAAATAAGAATACTAGAAATAAGAATAATTTAAACAAAGTACTATATACACAAAGCATTATATACAATAAAGTGAAAAGAGACTAAATCTAAAATAACAAACAGTCTAGTTTAGTTAATGATTTCCACAAGTCCGTCCATGTGCGATGATATTTAAATCATTACTTTATCAACAATAATAAAACATCCTGGCAGCTGTGACGGAGCTCAGGACTCCACCAGCTGATCAAGTGTGACTCACAGAGATGTAAACGGTGTGATAACAACCTCCTACAAACAGCTGGAAGCCATAAACTAAACTTCTGTTAATGCAGAGTGTGAAGAACAACACAGATTACGTCCATGACTGGCCGGTTTAGTTTGAGTTGTTTTCACAGTAAAGTTATATTTTTATGGACGTTTTGTAGCCGGATAGATTTAAGGCTGTTGAGGAAAGCGAATGAGACGAGGGGGGTTTGTGAATGTGGAAGAAAAGTCTGTTGATGTGACTCGTGAAAGTGAAACTCATGTGAAGTCGCCGCCAGACTGATAGAAAGGAGTTCATAAGTGAAAGCGGCTTTATTGTTTAATGGTCTTGATATCTGGAAAACCGAGGCGGCCTCATAACATCACACAGACAAACAGTGAAGCTTCATTAATCCGTCTGTGCCGCGCTGCAATCAAGCTATTCGGCCTCTTTGTGTTTCTATTAATGTCAGAAACTCCGTCCTGAGCTGAAGCTGATTAATACGTGTTGGACACATTTGTGCTGTTAACTTTGATTTGCGGCGAGAGGACAAAATAATACCGATTGTTATGAAACGGGGGATTCAGTATGAGGTAACAAGGTGCAGAAATGAGGCTATTAGCTCTGAAAAAACCGTGACAATTCAGCCGGCGTCGGTTTAAAGCAGAGCGGCTCTGAAAGGTCTGCAGATTTCCCTGAAACCCGTATCGGCGTCTACAACCATCATAACGGCATTACAGAGCAGGTAAACATTTAGAACAATCTGAACCCGTGCAGAGCAGATGTTGATATCTCAGGCTTTGTGCACTTTATCACGGTCGGTGGTTTCAGCTGACAATGACGCTGCAGATATTCGGCCTTGTGGGACTTTTATCAGCTCCCCTGTTTGCCTTTTTCCACTCATTGTGACTGCACTCGTATACGCTCTCTGGGCTTGTAGTTTGAGTTCTTTTTTTAAAGAAAGAGACAAAACCCACAATAAGTAAGTCAACTTGAAATGTCCTACAGACATCATGATAATTACGACTTCTTTCAGCCACAATAATCATGTAGTGAAATGTGAACTCTCGTCCCACTGCTCATGTATGTTGTTGCACAGCAGAATGTGTTCACACGTCAGCGCTACGCAACACGTCAGCACACGTATGTGCACATGCTTGTCATGCTTTAAAGGTAAAGCACGCACGAGGGCGTGACTGAACAAAGTATTTTAATTGATTCAACGCCTGAAGATATTTTTTGATTAAGTCTCTGAGCTACACTAACGATAAAACCACACAAATAGATTATCGTGAGATTAAATAATAGAGAAATATACATGACAACATATTTTAAGTTTATGATTTAAAGTGCTGTGTTGTAATTCTGTCATAGCCATGAAGTGACTTTAAACATGAAGTAAATCTGAGATTATTTCTATTTTTTAATGCTTTATGTTGTAATAGTAACAGTGGTTAGCATCGTCGCCTCACAGCTAGAAGGTCGTCGGTTTGCGTCCCGGTGAGGACACCCGGGATCTTTCTGCATGTTCTCCCCGTGCAGCGTGGGTTCTCTCCAGGTTCTTCCTCCCACAGTCCAGAAACATGCTGAGGTGAATTGGTGATTGTAAATTGTCTGTAGGTGTGAATGTGAGTGTGTTTGGTTGTCTGTCGATACGATGTCCCTTGCCTTCACCCTGAGTCAGCTGGGATAGACTCTAGCCCCCCTAGTGAGGATTAAGCGGTGTGTAGATGATGGATGGATGTTGTAACACATTTCACTCGAGCTACACAACTGTAACCTGACAATGAAACCTAATCAGTCTAAAAATAACGTCCGTGTGTCTCTCTGTCAACAGGATGAATTCATTTTTCAGGCTCAGTGTGTAGCATAAAAACACACTAAATGACACGGTCACATAGAAAACCAACAAAGCAGCCAGTCTGATCATCCTGCTCTCGTGATCTTTCTGTGTTCACCTTCAGGCTCACACTATAGACCACCAGACATTAGCTTGTTTGTTCTCAGAGCAATCACATCATGAAACAGTCGTGCAGCAACCTTTGAAGGTTTTTTAAGGATTTAATCCATCAGTACCTAAAATCTAAATGTTGTTAAAAATATATTCATTCTACTAAATGATTCTTTTATCTTCTCCAAACTGTATGGCTCTGTGTTGTTTTCACTGTCTGAACCAAATCGCTCATACAGGATCTTCATAAATGCTGGACTGAAGGCTGAGTCACCCTAAAAGCAAACTACTTCTAATCCGTGATCTCATTCTTTCAGTCCCAACCCAAAGCCCACGACCAGACTGAGCGGTCAGACTCATAATATGTCATCTACATGTCAGTGCTTCGGTATTTGGTGACTGTTTGGGCACATCCCTGTTTTCAGCTTCAGCAGAAGAAATGTGCATTATCAGTTTGACTAACGGTGCTTTTCTTGTCCTGTCATTTTAAATCCTGTTCACTCCGTCTGAGCTACAGGAAATGAAACCAGCGATGGTGTGATCACGACAAACATGTTCTTTGCACGGTGACATGACACATAAAGCCCAGCAGAGGGCTCCGTCTTACCAGGCCAAGGACCTGCAAGAAGAGGAAGTGGTAGAGGAACAGGAGGCCGGTGGACAGCAGCGCCCACCACATGTCTCCCAGGGGCTCGGGCTTGTACACACCTGCAACGAGAATCACCTGTGAAAAAAAAATCTCAACCGCGACCACACATCTTGTGTTCCAACACTGTGCACCGGTACAATCCTACAGAGCGCTTCCCCGTTAATGCATCAGTTAAATGAGCAGCTGGAGAAAAGCGGGCAGCAGGATGTGGTGTCGAACTGGCTTTTCCGGTTTCCTCACTGCTGAGGTAACGCCAGGGGAGGCATCGCGTTTGCTCTCATTGTATCAGCTTCCCCAGAAAAGCGAGTGTTTCCTTTTGTCAGGCTCCAGCGTTACGTTACTGATGAACAATGAAGCTCTTCTGGCAGAGTTCTGATCTCTACAGCCTACATATTTCTGTCTGGCATTCGACCAGCTGAGCATACTTTTCAAATAAGAACCAAACCTCGTGAATGTATTCCAATCTTTATCTTTGGTGTTGATCTTTTAAAACCATAAATCATCAAGCTTGACAGTAACTCTTTCTTTGCGTATTTGCCTCCAACCTGCAGGATTTGGTTCCTAATCATGAACGCTGTTTCGTGCAGGACAGTAACGGAGCTGCAGAGACGTTGTATCTGCAGGCTAACTTAGTTGTGTTTTGTCCTCAGGAAGCTTCCTGATCTTGCCGCTGCTAATGTGTACATTCTGCATCTGCATCCTGTAGCTGCCGGAGACGTGGGATCCATTCATTGGACACAGAGGAGCAACAAATATGTTTGTACACGGCTCTTGTCTTGAGAGTTTTTACATTTGCTTTTCAGTGGCATGAAGACTATAAGCTTCCTACATGAACGACAACAGCTACCAAGGTTGAACAAACAAAGAAAAAGAAAAAAGAAGCAGGTACCATCTCCAACACCAGCGACAAAACAAGAGGCGGTATTATGACTCTGCTTAGCCGGCATGTGAAAGATATGTGATTGTGCGAGTGCAGAGAACACGGGTGTGGACGCCGCCTACCTCCTTTCCTGAAAAGGTAAAGAGGCACCAGGTACAGCATGGAGTGCTGGATGTAGTAGATCTCCTTCTCGAAGGGAAGCTGAGGAAGGAAACAGAGAATAAAACATTTTGAATCCTCTCCAGCGTTATTAAGGGAAGAGCCGCTCGTGACGTACTGCTGAGATGAAATCTCACTCGCTTCAGGCCGGTTCATGCTTTCCACAAAAAAAAAGGTCTGCGTGACGTACATTTAGTCATCCGCCCAAATCTGGGTTTTTCTGTGCTCGACGAGAAGGACGACGCGACCTTCTGTGGAGCGAATCGCTGAGCACACATGTGGAGGGCGTGCGACTCATTCAAAGTCTGCACGAGGATGTGAAAATTCAATTGGCCCGTAGCTCTTTTCTTTAGATGTTGGAAATGTAGGTCCTGAGACACATCAGGTTGAGAAAGGCAACTGCTGTATAGCTATAGGAGACGGCTATTGTTCACGTACATAATAGATAAAATGCATTAAGCAGAATCTGTGTCCACAATAAGGTCAGACGTCCGTGCTTCATAAACTTAATCGTGCTGTTTAAATGTGCACCAGACCTCCAAGGTTCTGACGTAACCCGGCCGCTCCATTGTCGCTGCCTAGTTTGTATTCGTTCCTCACACGTCTCTGTGCCGAGAGAACTGTTTCAAAGAGGAAAGCTAACCAGGAACAAAATGTCTATTGATCTAAAACAAATGCAAAACAGTGCTTTAAAGTCGTGCTTCCTCGTTTGAGAAGTTCTTTTTCCCCCTTTATCTGATGGGGAACAGGAGATAAAACCTCCACTTGGGTTAGAATAGACTTTATTTATCCTAGACCTGGGAAATTATTGTAAACAGCAGCATCCAAAAACAGAAAGAAAGCACAAGAAAATAACAATAATTAAGTCATATGCAGCAGGTCCAAGGCTCCACCGCCTCCGGTTGGGCAGTGAGAGCGACGTACGATTAAAGTCTCCTGAGATGACGATCAGGTTGTGATGTTTGCAGCTGAGACACTGAACTATGGATGACTGCAGCATCAGCATCAGCCGAGGGTGGGGGATGTAAAGTGTAATCGCCAGGACGTGTGAAAACTCCCTCGGCAGGTAAAACAACTGCAAACCAACCAATAGCATTTTGATTTTCATGAATAACACGCTAAAACTTGGCTTTTTTTTTTTTTAAAAGTTCAAACTGTCCAAAGTGTGATTTCATCGAAGCAAATAGAATTTAAAGCGTCCAGCGAACAGATTCAGACTTCCTTCATTAAAACAGCACATTTCCATCATCAATCAAGCTCCCACTTTCCTGCCACTTGAGTCCAACGTTTTGTCTCCTCTAGTAGAAGAGCTGCACTTATTTAAACATCACATTTGTGTGAGCGTCCCCGTTTTGACGAGATAAAATGTCTTTTTAAACAAATCTGAGCTGAGGGGGGGTAACCATAGACTGTATAAAAGATGGACAGAGCAACCAGCCCTGAAAAATGAAGCCAACCCAGAAGTGTCAAAAACCTGCAACATCACTACGTCCGCTAGCTGCTGGCTCCAAAAAGCCCTGGCTCCCATAGACTGGAATTGGAAAAGAAGTGATCACAGATCATGAAATACTGCATTCCTACAGCTCAGGATTTTTTTCTTATTAGTTTTCATGGTCAAATCCAGAGATCAGGTGACCAATCTGAAAATAAATCAATACTGAATTTTAAAAAAAAATCGTCAACATTTTGTGGGGCAAGGGGCGTGGCTGGCTTGATTGACAGTCGGCAGCGACGATGCAGACGAACCGAGCAGAAAGCGGTAAATGTGGGCGGGCAGAGAGGGCCCGCCTCTCAATCCGTCTGACCAATCACTGCTCTTATGGCTCCGCCCCCCTCCCACGATTTTTGCGTCACCGGCTCCAAAAATCCAAGATGTCAACCAGGAAGTAGCAAAACCCTGGCTTCATTTTCTCAGTGCAGAAACCAACGGGTGACGTCACGGTAGCTACGTCCATCTTTTATACAGTCTATGGGGGTAACACTTCCTCTTCTCGCCGAGCTGCCACCAAAAGCGAAACAAGGCACCTGTTCTTGTTGACCTGGAGCGACGTGTGAAGGGGCTACTTACCAGTCTAGTGTTGACTACAGGGAACATCAGAGCCAGCAACGCCCCGTTCAACATGTGGACCTGCAGCCTGAGAACGGAACAAAAGAAGCTTTTAGACATTTAAAATGGCGTCAGACTGAAAGAAAGTTCAATCAGATCGACTCCATGCCCTCCGTCACATCTGCCCGATACTCCCAGGAACTTTTTTTTTTTTCAACAATTACTTCATGCATCATTGCATTACTGACATATTAGCTTGAATCAATTAGTGCTGATCTAAGCGCAGAGGAACAGGTGGGAGCTTCTGTTCCACGTTACTGAAACCCAATCAGAGCCCTCCCTGATGCTGTTAGCAGCAGCTGTCTCTTATTCGTTGGCAGGGTCAGTTCCTGGCGGGGAGCGAGAAGTCAGGTCAGTGATGTTTCAGGCGATCCATGTGCACGCTTTGGAGACTACGAGCCATTAAGAAATCACACCAAGCTGCTGCTGCCGCCGTCGTCGTGATTCACACAAATCAGCGGTTTCTAGCTACTCATTGGTCATTAGTACGATCTGGATGACGTGTATTTCGGCACACATTTGCTGCTTTTTTCCGGCTCACTCACCATTCAGCGCACACGCCGCCTGTCTACTCCTGCAGACAAGAGGGGAAGTGCAACAGTTCACTTGTACACGGTCCGACATGTAGGAAAGAAATGTTTCACCGAGATTTATTCTAAAAGCCACCGTGTATAACGTTTAAAAAGCCCAGGAGCTCGTGTCAAAGTGTGCATCTATCACCTCCGAATGCTTTTTTTTTGTGTCAAATGAGCCAAAATAACTGTTGTGACAGCCAAGGTCACTGAGAAAACAGCAGAGCCGTACGACTGTCAGCTCAAATAAGCCCGGCCGTCGCTCTGGGAGGCGGAGGGGACGGCGGGGACGGAGCTTCGGTACCTTTTCGGGAAAAAACAGTCATTCAGATTCACCACATTTACTCATCATTAGCGAGCGATGTGTTGGAAGATATGTTTAATAACTTTTTGGGATGTGTAGCTCTCTATCACGATCGATACGGCGGCCATGACCTGAATCTCTAACGCTGCATCTATTTCCATATTTCAGCCGCTACATACGACTTATTCGCTGATGTGGAGCTGAAAGTCCCTCAAGTTGCTCTGAGATAGAAATATATGTTTGCTCCTCACGCAGCGCCTGCAGCTGTTTAGCCTGACGTGCAAACACGAGGAGCAGAAAGGAGTCTACTTAAGACAGAAGGGCCGTCCCGTTCTTGAATACAGATGCTGCTTTTGTGCGTTTGATCGACGCCACAATATGCCGACACAGGAGCTGCGTTTAGCATGTAGAGGAGGCTGTACTGTAAAGTTTTTTTTAAAGATCAGAGTTCTGAAAACACAAGAAGCGATAGAAATCATGCTCATCTGTGCATTTCCTACCATATCTGAAGTTTGTTGGCTTCATGTATTTACGTTCCATCTGTATCTGTTTTTATAGTTTCTGCTACAGTCTGCCGTCCCTCACTGGATTCAGATTGGATATTTATAAAAGACGAGGAAGATGTAAAGCCAACACTTCCATCTGCTGTACCTCCTTCTTAAAATTGTTTAACTGATGGCTTTAAAGATCCCATATTATGCTCATTTACAGGTTTATTAAATGGGATCTACAACAACACATTTACAACCTTAAATGTTCTAAGCTGTGTTATTTTTCTCATACTTCCCGTTGCTGCAGCAGTTCCTCTCACCTTCTGTCTCTTGGCACTTTAAAGGCCCAAAAGGAAAATTGTATTGATTGCAGAGAGACGTACAGATGTGTTCGTAGCCTCCCAGTAAAGAAGGAAAAAACAGCTTCAGTCACTGAAATAAGTTGAAATTGACAAAAGTAATAATAAATAAAAATGTAATGAAAATCATGATGTTGCTTTTGAATTGTGGTTCAACAGAAATATTTAAAAACAACAAGCAAACAAGCATGATGGGACCCATAAACTAATATTTAGTTGAACAACCCTTTGAGCCAATCAGGTGTTTTCTGTAACTCTAATTTATCCGGGACAGTTTTTTTTTTTTTAATTATTCTTTTCAACCGTAATTCCAAAGCAGCATCTCATTTCACTAAATTGTAATTTAGCAAATTTTTATTTATTATTACTTTTTTATTTTCTAGTTATTTGAGTGACTTTTGTGAGTTTGTCTTTTCTTTAATGGCAGGGGATGAATACATTTGAGGACGACTGCAACTCTATCAGAAGCATCTCTACACTGCAAAAAAAAAAAGGGTAGCCCAAATATAAGATATAAACACTAAATCTGAGAAGAAAATGACTTAACACTAGTGAAATTATCTGTCCATGCAGCAAGTAAATTCTACTTGATAAATCTAAGATTTTTAATGCTCAATTTAAAATTGTGCTGTAAAATCAAGGACTAAAAATGAGTAAATAACTTTTAAAACAAGCCAAATTATCTATAGTGTGAAAAAAATAAGATTTTAAATCTTGGCAAGTCCCAGATTATTTGTAGTGTAGCGAGGCGATATCGGCGTGAGGCTGCTGCACACTCTTCGTTTGAGGGCGGCTCAAGCTCGCTGCTGTGCAAATGTGTTACGAGGTGACGTCAAGAAGAGGAGCCTGGAATTCAAATGAAGTATTACAGGCAGGTAGGAAGCAGTGGGAGACAGTACCTCCCTTTGTTGTGGACTTTTACAACCTTTTATGGCCGCAATAAAGCTAAAAAACACACTAAAGGATGGAGATGAAGCAGAACATGGGCTCTTTAACTGTGACGCATCCACGAGTTTTATCAAAACTGTGTCTAAGGAGAGAACAGACTAGTTTATAAACACAAAAAGATAAAGAGCTGCGGATAACGACGACTTCTCTGCTTTTATTTCTGCTCATTGCGTTGCAGCACAAGGCCGACTACTGACCCACATCTGCATCAGGACTAACTCCAACAGTTCTACCGGTTTTCCTTCTGTTGCGTCTCCGACAAAGCTCGTGTAAACTGCACTCCCTGTTACCGCGGCAACCGCAGACTGTCATTAAAATCGTTCAGGATTAAAACTTTAAGCCTCGCGTTCACACACGTTTACACAAGCTGTCGGCGGTTTACCTTGACGGTTCCCTTTTTACATAAACGAGTAAATTCTTCAGCTGATGCCAAACTATGAGAAAGAACATGATGAATGTGGCTATTTTCTAAACATCTTATTGATCGTGAGATGAGATACTCAGATTGTTTCTCTTTTCCATTTCAGGTGGAGCCCGGCTACGGCTCCTTGATGAACCTGCCGCCGCTCATCGTTCCCGGTGCCGCTCCACCCGTGGGCTACGGCGAGCACAAAGTGACCCCCGCTCGTATTTATGTCCGAGCCAATCCCACATCGCGTTCCCGCCGGCAACAAACACAGTCATTTCTGCTGAATAATTAACAGGCCTGACCAGAGGAGCTGCTGAGGAGACCATAAACCCAAACAAACGCATTTCAATAAAAACCTCTGTGAAAACCCAATTTTACCCCGTCGAAGCCTGCTCGCAATTACAATCAACGGCAATTGCTTTTTATATGAAAACAAAATCCATGTTTAATTTGGTTCACGCTGAATATTCACTTTGGCACCACGCAGCTCCTGTGGCAGGTTCATGGTGAGCCTCTGTTGTGGCCCTTTTACGTTGTCGAAAACATTTTTAACAGTTTAGCTGAGGTTAAAACACTAAAGACAGACACGAGCCACGGGGTAAATATACTCACCTAAAAACAACCATTGCTGTTTTACACGGCGGGCAGGCCAGCAGGAAGATCTGCAGAGTGAAGCACAGGGAGAAAAGAGAAAGCGCATTATTGCATTTAACTCCTACGGTCATTACAGAGCAGCTTGAGGAGCTTCCGGCGCTGCAAGTCAAGAAAACGAGTTTGCACTAATATAATAAGAGCAGAGGCCTTGAACAGAGGGTAACGGTGAGGTGCTTCTTGCTTAAAATCAGGAGAAAGAGTTAAAGGAAGGGGCTGCAAGGTGGAGCAGTTGGTAGCACTGTTGCCTCGCAGCAAGAAGGTTGCCGGTTCATGTCCCGGTGAGGACACCCGGGATCTTTCTGCGTGGAGTCTCCATGTTCTCCCCGTTCTCTCCGGGTTCTCCGGCTTCCTCCCACACAGTCCAAAAACATGTTGAGGTTAATTGTCTGTCTCTAAGTGTAGCCCTGTGATAGACTGGTTACCTGTCCAGGTGAACCTGCCTTCACCCTGAGTCGGCTGGGATAGACTCCAGCCCCCCATGACCCTAGTGAGGATTAAGCGGAGTATAGATAATGGATGGACGGAGTTAAAGGAAGGGCCTCTGGGGGGTCGTCATGCAATTAGGGTGGAATTTGAAAGCATTACAGCTGCTGCCAGGTGTTGGCGTTCGTGTGTTTTACTGCCTGACTTCGAGCTGCTGAAACAATCTGCAAGTCAAGAAATAATCAGAGTTCTGGGTAAATTCATAAAAAAAATCCCATTCACGGCTACAAAGGCAGGCGGCTCATGCTTTGTTTGAAAGTATTCATTTCTAAAGAAAAAAAAAAAGGAGTTTGAAATGGTTTTCTAATACCTTTCCATTGTCAGAAATATTTATATCAGAAAGTCGGCCGGTTACAACTCAGCCCTGCAATCTGCGCACCGTGACTCAGGGATACTGCGAACATGGATTGGTTTAAAACACCATCTGACACGAGGAAAAAGCTGGTTTTGCCTGAAGGCTGGAAACAGAATTACAAGAAAGCAATTGACCTGAGATTTGTTGTACAACTACCCACCGGCCGTGGGCTTTTCTTTTTTGGAGGTGGGGGGTTGGATACGTCTTGAAGATTGATCTGCTGTACATCTATCAACGTGTATGAATCTGCAGCGTGAACAGAACTGAGTTTACTTCAGCAGAGATGGTCCAAGTAACAGAAACTTTTAGAAAATGCATCATCCTGAACTTTTAAATACGAGTGGGTATTATGATAATGCATTTACCCTCTCTGGACTTTTACTTTCAAACTCTTCTAACTCGTGAAGATTAGTCATCAGAGTGAGACAATACACGAAAACGTCTCGCTTGCCGGAGAAACTAATAATCGACTCAACAGTGTGCATTTCCCGTCAGAAACACTGCGACCCATCCACACTACAGGGTAACCACGCCGTCAGTGATGAATCATTTCAGGTTTTTAACATTAAATTAGCACGCTGTGGGCCTGATGGCTGCACAGAGCAGCACCACGATGCTGACATCACATATGCAGCAGGGCAGCTGTATGAAACCACACGACTCGGCGCCGCGGCCTCAAAAGGTCCGAAATGAATCTGAGAAGAGATCATGTTGCTGGCATAAATCGGGTTATTCTGCTCAGCAGATGCCACTTCCTCCTTCTCTGCAATGGTCTTCAGACAACCAGGCTGCAATATTCATAACACACAGGGTACAGGATAGCTAGAACAACTGGAACATCTTTTCACGAGTAGCACCACAGTGACTGTAAATATTCTAGGAGCACAAACATCAGGAGTACGACTTAAATCACAAATGCAGCTTGGGATGCGACCGCAGCTCATTTGCTGTGTTTAGGGCAGCTGTTGTCCTCTGATCACAGGTTCGATCCCCCGTCCCTCCACAGTCCAACTGTCTGAACCCGAAGTTGCTCCCCATGGCGGGCAGCACCTTGCATGGCAGCTCTGTCGCCATTGGTGTATGAATGTGTGAATGAGAAACACACTGTAAAGCGCTTTGGTATATAAGTGCAGACGATTTACCATTTTAATACGGCAGCAAATCGCAAAGGAGATGATACAGGCAGTTCCATGTAAGGCACGATGCTCGCGTGGCTGAGAGCATTGCAGAGGTTCAGGCTTCAGGCTTAATGGCTTCCAGACAGCGCCGATGTGCACAGAGTGAGCCCATCTTCACCTTGAACAGCTGCTCAGGTGAGGTAATTATTAGATGCTGTGCCAATTAAAATACCTTGTGTTTTTTTTTTGTCTGTTCCTGTAATATTTAATGGAAGTGAGCTGATTAAACAGTAAGGCTGCTGGTTAAAAAAGGCTACATCAGCATTTGAAAAACATATAATTCCTTTTAACAATTAACTGATTATTGATTTTTAACGTGGTTGACTATCGGGTAGGAAATCGGTTTACAATTTTCGTGTCTGAATTGACAAAGTGTGTCAGAAAAGTTCCAGGACTGGTGTCACAACAGATAGATTTCAAACCCAAACTACCAGTTTCCCCTTTAGACGATCAACCAGCTCGTCTACAAAGAGATTTGTTTGCTTCGTTCAGTGCACGAGAAGAGGTGAGAGTTGTGGCTGCTTCACCATGACAACCTGCTCACAACGCCCTGAGCATCCCACAGTTCCTGGCTGAGAAGAACATCTCCGTGCTGGAGCAACCTCCCTGCTCACCCCACCTGGCTCCGTGGGGTTGTTTCCTCCTCCCCAAGCTCAAGGGGGTCATCAAGGAGACCCGTTTTGAAGACGTGGACGACATCAAGATGGCTGTGACGATGGAGGATCCCTGAAGAATCCTTCCAGGACTGCATGGCGGCAGCAGAGAAGGCTGGGGAAGTGGGTTAGACTCCAGGGGGGTTACTAGGAATATGTCTTTTGTGGCACCAGTCCTGAAACTTTTCTGACACACCTCGTACAGTGTTCTTATTTTTTTCATTTTAACTGTTACATGCTTTGTTAATTTGATGTTTTCTTCTATGGAAACAGGTCATGAAGTACCATCAGGACATCGGTGGCAGTTATTCCTGATGTGCTACACACCTGTACCATCTGTCAAGCCAACCTGAGACCAACGACGGTGCCACATTTACACCGCTTGATGAAAGAGCTCTGCGTAGGACACACCTGTGTTGCCTCACTCCAAACTCCTCCCAGAGCCTCTCCTCTCTTCTCCCTCCTCAAGGTGCATTTAAGAAATTAGCAGAAATTACACGATGGTGGCGGGGGGACGATTTCCTGGAGGACAAGTTTGAATAATGAAAATCACCCGTTATCAGCTCATCTGTTCCCTGTAAAGTTAATGCTTCCTGCTGTTGTCGTGTTTTATGTTTGAAGTCTGCAGTCGAGTTGGCAGCTTTCCACGCGAATGCTGGACCACACTGAGGGCAGAACACACAGCATTGCTCTCTCTGCAGCATCTCTGGGAGCCTCTCCTGCTGGATGGAGAAGGCCTGCTGCTTCCTCGTCTGAGTTGTCCTCATTAGATATTTGGGACTGCAGCGGCGCAGGAGGCCCCGAATGATCTTTTCTTTTTGAAAAATGAACCGATCGTTGGTTTCATCGGCACCAAAGGGCCCAGCAAGAGCGAGCTGACATATGGGCCGGACACATGCAGATGACATCCTGCGCAGAACTGTCCCCGTCCTGCGTTGTTATGATGATGAGAGCCTCGCATTAGCCCTCCACTCTAATCACTCACTCTCCATCTCACTCCCTGCTGGAGTTTACATGATGTACTATCACAGGGGGACATATTTGCCCGTCGCACCGGCGCTCCTGGTAATAAAACTTAAGTCTCGCTGTTTCCAAAAAGGGTCGCAACGCTCAGACGGACAATAGCCGTCAGTGCCGCTGGGTCTGTTGTCAGAGCTCATAGCTGCGTTTGGCCCATGCACATTCCTGAGATGGATTATTACTGTCAGCCACCATTGTGCGCTGTGTTTGGGATTATGTCGGAGGCAGTGAGATGTTGTCACTTGGATCCTTTGTCTCATGTCAGACACATCAAACCAATTACACAACAGTCACTTAGACGCAGCCCTCAAGTCTCCAGCTTTGAACAAATTAAAAAAAACTAATGAAACAAATATTCTAAAGGAGCAAGGAGTCGCAAAGTATTCGCTGTTACGTGAATAAGCAAGAAATTAGGAAATAACTTGTGTAAAGTCTAATTGCCAACGTCTGTTCTCTCGTCTCGGATTGACCGCTGCATCACGGTGACAGAGGAGGGCTGGTTGATGAGGAGGTCCCTCGCCACTGCACTATGGAGAGCGTCCCGTCCTATGGATGTGCGGTGTGGCAGCTGCACGGCATCGGGGGTGAAACAACTTCAGACGGCTCAGTGGATCGTTGGCTCCACACTCCCACACCGGGAGGAGATCTGCTTGAGTCGTTTCCTCTGACGGGCCACAAAGATCCAGAATGACCCCGCCCTCCCAGGACACTATTTACCAGCCTCCTCTCTGGCAGACTCAGGGTCGTGAGAGGCCGGGCCAATGGACTGGAGCGCAGTTTTTTCCCCATGGATGTACAGAGACTGCTGCAGGAGTCATAACACTCCCAGGACAGATGCTCTTTTGCACTCTGGTGGAGTGTTTGCTGTTTCTGTCACCTTTTAGCTCGTTTATCTTGGACTGTGATCATATCGGCTGCCGCAAATAAGAAGCCAAACTAAATTTTGATGTTTTTTTTTTTTTTTTTGCAAGACGACAATAAAGCCTCTTAAATGAAAATTCAAAAATGCTAGTTTCGTTTCATATCGGGGCAACACAGAAGTGGTTAACACTGTCACCTCACATTTTGAAGGTCCTGGGTTCGACTCCCATGTTCCCATGAGTCTCCATGTTCTCCCCGTGTAGCATCGGTTCTCATCGGGTTCTCCAGCTTCCTCCAACAGTGTAAAGACATGCTGAGGTTGGTTGGTGTTTCTATATTGTCTGTAGTGTGCTTGGCTGTCTGTCTCTAAGTGTAGCCCTGTGATAGACTGGTTACCTGTCCAGGTGAACCTGTCTTCACCCTGAGTCAGCTGGGATAGACTCCAGCCCCCCATGACC